CTATTGTTGAGGCTTTTGACCCTACTAGGACCCTCAGGTCCTTTTCCATCCTCATTTCCCCCAGAGGTTCTCCAAGTGCATTACTTTACATTTTTCTACATTAACCACTTTCTGACTGTACTATAGCTGAATGACGTCAACAGTGCGGTCGTCCAGTCCTGGGAGGGCGTCATATGATTTCCTCCCAGAACAGCGCCCCCAGCGGCGCACACACGGCGCTCTCTGTGATTGCTGTGTCCTTTGGAAACAGCTGATCACATGACACAGTAAAGGGCCAATCACAGCAGCTTTTTACTACATGGTTAGCTGTGTCCAATCACAGCTGATCACCATGTAAACACACTTGCTGGTTATCAGCAGTACTTTCCTCATGCTGTCACAGCGTGAGGAAAGTACTGCTGATAACCGACAAGTCTGAAAGGAGACGTCTACACTGATAGTCAGTGCCATGATTATCAGTGCAACCTAAAAGTGTCTAGCAGTGCCCAGCAGTGCTGCCAGTCTGTGCCTGTCAGTGCTGCCAATCTTTGCTCGTCAGTGCCGCTAGTCAGTGCCACCTATCAGTGCCACCAGTCGGTCGGCCTATCAGTGCCCACCATTGCCGCCTATCAGTGCCCAACAGTTGCGCCTATCAGTGCAGCCTTATCAGTGCCTCCTCATCAATTTCCCACCAGTGCTGCCTCATCAGTGCAGCCTATCAGTACCCATCAGTGCTGCCTATCAATACCACCTCATCAGTGCCCATTAGTGCAGCCTCATCAATGCACATCAGTGAAGGAGAAAAATTAACTGTTTACAAAATGTTATAATAGCAACTAAGTAAAACTTTTTTTTTTTCCAAATTTTCTGATGTTTTTAGTTTGGTTAGCAAAAAATAAAAACCCTTTGGTGATTAAATACCACCAAAAGAAAAAAGGACAAAAACATTTCATATGGGTACAGTGTTGCATGACCACTCAATTGTCATTGAAAGTGCGACAGCACTGAAAGCTGAAAATTAGCCTGGTCAGGAACGAGGTGAAAGTGCCCGGTAGGTAAGTGGTTAAACCTCATCTGTCATATAGCTGCCCACCCCTCTATTTTAATGAGGTCTCATAAAGTTGCTGTATCATGTTATGAAGTTATTTCCCAGCTTACCTTCGTATAATCAGGAAACACTGAGATTGAACTATTTATTCCAATCTCTATGTCATTTATGAATAAATTAAACAGAATTGGTGGAGGAAAGAACAAACAAACAAACATCCCCAAGCGCAGGAGCATTTCTGTAAACAGAATTGGTCGCATGACACAGCCCTGGGCTATTCCGGATTATATGTATGCTGGGTGTTGTTCTCTGTATATGTTCCCATAATGTATGTATGGATGTCACTTTTCTTGTTTTGTATGCCGGATGTAATTCTCAGCAAGGATGGATGATGCTGGGAGTCTTCCAGTTTACAAAATGAGGCATGCCTGATGTGTTACATCTTCCAAAGCACACTCTAAAGAACTCACAGTGTGCAGAAAAATCAGTCCAAGCAATTGTATTAGTGGAAGAACCTGTGCAACTGTACGAGAATGAAGGTGAGGCTGGATGTCAGCTTTAGGGTTCACTTTAATATTCATATTCCACACAAGCCTGACAGTAAGACTGCCTGTATGAATTGTTGGCACAAGCAGACAATACAGAATGAGGTGTGAAGCTCATATTTAATGACCGAATTATTGTACAATTTTCGTGTTTCTAGTGTTACTACTAGCAGGTACCTGCAGGGCCGGCTGTATGACTTTATTTCTGCTATATAAAAACTGTGAAATCATTTTTGAACCATGCTCCAATGATGGAGTGTACACATACATCTTCAACTCTGGGGGAAACATGTTCTTTACATAGGCAGTGTCTGGAACACGGTTATCAAGCATACATCGTCATCTAGTGGTAGAAGTGTAATATTGCATGGTGTACCCTATGGTCCTTCTTTCCGGAGCATTTTCATTTGAGATTTCAATAGCTCAACATAACTCACTTTGAAGAATTGAGTCAAGAAATGGGTAGCTTTATTACTTTCATAAATTGCTTAATTTCTGTAGTTATTACAAAGAGGCAGTTATTATCACTTTAGAGAAGGATAATGCATAAAGGAAAATGTACTGCCTGCTGTAACTTTTTTTTTTTTTTTATTTGAAGCAATATTAGAGATCCCTGGAATTTTTTTGTGGTCAGGACAGGTCAAGTATGTGACCATAGGCAGAGTGCAATTATAGAAATTGCTAGGGCCCCGTTCACACCGGGTTTGTTTTACTAAAACAAAATGTGGTGCAGAATGCGGTGCAGCTGTGCACAGTAGCCAATCAGCTTCTAACTGCAGCTTGTTCAATTAAAGCAGAGTTCCACCCAAAAGTGGAAGCTCCACTTGTTTTCCTCCTCCACCCCGCCCCCCAACTACAATATTTTGCACCTTTGGGGGGGAGCGGATGCCTGGTTTTGACAGGTACCCGCTCCCACTTCTGGCTCACTTCGCCAAGGTGAAGTAAGATGGAAGTTCAGCCCCCCTCCTTCCTCCCACAGTCTGCTGGGAACTTTCACAGGTCCCAGAAGACTGCCGGACCAATCAGGATGCATAGCACATGTGCAGTGGACACCCGGCACCGGGGAGATGCCGGGTGTCCACTAGGACTAGGAATGGAGTGATTAAAGACTGCTGATTCCTTAGCTGCTGCTCTGAGCACAGAGTGGTGACTGTCAGCCATCGCTCTGTGCTCTGCCCCTCCAGTGCTCAGTGGAGCACTGGGCTGGGGAAAAGGCAGGAATGGCTGGCTCAGGTTTGAAGTGGCATGCTGAGAGGCTGAGCCAGCTGCTGGTCAGGCATCTTGGCAGATCCCGACATTATTGTCAGGATCCCTGCAGAGTCTGGACTGGTCCTGTGATGTCAGCTGACAGTGCACTTTAGCCTGCTGTGGGCTGAATATGGAAAACTAAATGTACTCCTGTGACCCATAGGAGAAGTATGGCTAAAAGAGCTTGGATCATACTTCTCCTTTATATCCTATCATACTAATCTATCTATTTTCCTATGATTTGGATTTTGTGTCAAGACGGATCAGTATAATTTCAATTAAAGCGGAGTTCCACCTAAAAAAAAAAAAAAAAAAAAAACAGCAGCTACAAAAACTGGAGCTGCTGACTGTTAAAATACAGCCACTTACCTGTCCCTCGGTCCAGCAGTGTCTTCACTGCCATTGGTTTCACCGGCCATCTTCTCTCCCTGGCGCCGGCATCTTCAGTGTGGGCACTCGGCTATGACAGCTTGTGGCTTCACAGTCGGATGCCCACTGCGCATGCGCGTGAATGGGAACTGTCACGTGTCCTAGAAGACTACAGGGAGGGAGGGGGGAGGACAACTTCCACTTCCGATCGTCTTAGGCGATCGCAGCGGAAGTGGTAGCGGGTACCTGTCAGATTCGGGTATCTTTAATGGAGAGCGGGGGACAAAGGCTTAAAGTGGAACTTCCCCTTTTGGGTGGAGCTCCGCTTTAAATGAATCAGTTTTGTTTAAAATCAATTGATGACACACTATGTGTGTTTTTGATCATTCTTAGTTTCGATCATATTCTCTGATTCTATGAAAAGTCGTTCATCAGATCATTAAGATCATGGTCATCACTAGTCGAGCTATTAAATCACTGGAGACCTAAGTTATTTGTACTCAGGTGATGTCCAGATTTAGCTCTCAGCTCTTAGCCTTTTCTTCATTTTATTTTTTCTGGATGTTTATCTACACACTGCAGTCTCATTTTTGCCCTCTTGCTTTCTTAAAGAAGATCTATCATTATATTTATTTTTTTTAACTTTTCTGCCTCTTAGTATCTGAAAAAAAACTAAAATTGTGCCTGTGTCCAAATATATATGGACTTAACTGTATGTTCGATGCACTGGCAGTGAGAATTCAGTGCAGACTGAAAAAGAGTCCTGTCAGTGCGGTCAAGTTCTGGTGCGGATTACAGGCTATTGACTTCTATGGGAAGCGTTTCTAAAGTAATGTGTGAACAGGATAAAATCCTGTACTGAAACTGATGTAAACCTGAACTGAACCGCTGAACAACTTCTGTGTCAGTTAGCTGTGAAACCTGAACTTCAATCCTCACAGCACATGTGTGAATCAGCTTTTAGTTTCTAATTTCTTTAACACTAGTTATGAGGTCTGACCTGCTCCTCTACCCTCCTGCCACGGTTGACCCAGAAACAACTATGAAGGAGATGGCTGATTCAAAGCTGCAGCTTGCCTCAGCTGTGAGCACTTTTTGAAACAATCAACAAGAAGAGGAATACAGAGGCTGACATATCCCCCCTCCCTCTGCATTCCTCCGCATTGCCATTACTTATCTCAGGAAAGTGCTGACATCCAAGGCAAGCTGCAGCTTTGAATCGGCCATCTCCTTCATAGATGTTGTCAAATCAACCATGGCAGGAGGGGGGCAGGCCAAACCTCATAACCTCTTAGGAACATGGACAGAACTGTACAATTAAAATTCTAATATATCTTATTTACAGAAGACCATGTAGCCAAGTAGCACCACAAAGTATTTATCATCTTTCTTACCTAGATTTGACTTTGCTACTTCGGCTTAGGTATCCTGAACTTTTTAGCCCACCCCAAAATAATCATCCCTATTCATCACCTCCTACCGCTGCTGAATAAGAGCACCCCAGTGGCCAAAATGAGTGTTCTAATTGGATAGGTGGATGGCACGGCTTATTATTATTACCTATCATGTTTGTCTGCAATGCCTTGTACATGAATATTCTAGAGTATTGGAACATTATTCTTGTCATATACAGTTATACCTCAGGTAAATGTTCCATTATTCGTAGTAATGGTTGTGCTGCATATGACCTGTGACACTGATATCTGAGGTTTTAACCTTTTCTAATGTGTCGTTTTTTTTTTAGAGCAGAAGATGGGGAGATCCACCCAGAAATCTGCAGACTTTATATCCAGCTTCAGTGCTGCCTAGAAATGTATACAACCGAAATGCTGAAATCTATGTGTCTTCTGGGCTCCCTCCAGTACCAGCGGAAAGGTAACCTGTTAAAAAATATGTAAACCCAGCATTTTATATTCCTGATATGTTCCTTCTGTACCATGTATGTGTATGAAAAAGTATTCTGTTCTCTTTGTGTTTCTTCCTTTGTATGAAATCCCTGGTGTACCTGTCAGTCCCTCTGCTTTCCTAATAAAAGCTGACCACACTCATCAGGAGAACACAGTGTGGTCAGTTCTCTAGCTGTCCTCCATTGATCAGACTTGTCCTGACAGCCACACAAAGATTTTGCCTTTCATTTTTTTATCTCAACAGGTTGTTTTACAAGGTGAGGGATTACAATTAGTTTACTTTTCTCAGTAGTCAGATTAGACTTTATCCAGAAAGAAGTCCACCTCAAAATCAGATGTTCACCATGCACTATGGATCCAGTAGTAAATGTTTTGCTGTGAAGGAGGGGGCGAGTGTAGTATGGCTGTGCATTTATTAGATTGTAAGCTCCAAGGAGCAGGGCCCTCCTATCCCTCTTGTATTGAACTGTATTGTTGCTGTATTGTCTCCCGTTATATTGTAAAGCGCTGAGCAAACTGTTGGCGCTATATAAATCCTGTATAATAATAATTATAGAGACCCTGTCACCAATTTTAAAAATAAAAGCACTTAAAAATCACATATATTTAAATGCAGTAGTTTTCCTTTCTGTAAACAAGTTTTATTCACTTTCAATATGCCTTTGAACATGGTAGATAATTTGACCACTTACCTACCAGTTTGAGCCACAGTTCCTCCTCTGTTCTGCCATAGCCTTCCCTTGTGAGAGCTGACTAATTACTACCTGTGCTGGCCCAGCTCCCTCTTCCCTTATCTCCATACATATTCTATGTAGCTGTTGGGAAGAGGAATACTATAGATTGTTACTTGAGTGAAATCTGAGTCTGCATGATGTTGACATCACATCTCAAGATGGATGGTGCCCAGCAGTAATCTCACGATTTTTGGGTGTCTACATTAGAGAGGCTTTTACAGGTAAATAACACACTTAAAATACATTAAATGTGTGTATAACCTTTTGAGATTGTTGTTGAAATGAATAGTCTGGTGAAAGGGTCTCCTAAAAGTAGAACTAAAGGCAACATTTTTTTAATCATTTTGTATGGAGTATGCCTGAATTCACATATGTGTGGCCCGGTTTTGTTAGAGTGAATTCAGCCCCCTCCAGTGCGCGTTTGTTCAGCGGTTCAGGTGCGATTCAGGTGTAAATTGTCAAAGTGTATGACAATGGAAATCGCACCCAAACCGTACTCAAAATCGTACTCCTTTTAAAAGTGCGCTGCGGCTGGCCCGCACATGTGAACCTGCTTCTTTGAAAAGGCTGCAGGTTTACATGTCATGCGAATCGGATGCAGTTCAAAACGCATTCCAATTTGCATATATGTGAACTGGGGCTAAGGGAGGGTTTTAACCCCGGTCAGCTTTATTTTTGTTATCTGTTGTCTCATTGGGGAGATTTTCCTTCACTTCTTGTCCCATAGCCAAAACAGGAAGTGAGAGCAAATCCCCGGTTGTCAGCAGGATCACCAGTACTAGTGCCCCCATAGGAAGATTTCCCCTCTATTTTCTAAGCTGGGGACAACCAAAAATGTTTTATTTTTTTTCAGTTTCAATGATAATTGTAAACAGTACAAATAGAGGGTGAATCTCCCTATGGGGAGACAGCAATAAAAACCTGACAGGGGGTCTAATCCTTCTCCACTCTATCCAAAACTAAAAAAAAAAGTTTGCCTTTAATGTATAGAAGATGGACTGTATACCTACCTGGCAGGGAAGATTCCATGTACACAAAGCTGTTTTTTTCCAGAGTGGGATTAAAACATTGCATGCTGTGTGTTGACCCCTGCAATTTTCCCAAATACAAAAAATGTTACCATGTCATAGTGATAGTGGGGGCAGTTCTTTTATGTTCTCCTGAGGGGTAAACATAGGGATAGGGAGACACTGCAGTTCTCTATGTGTCTGTACTCAGTGGTGTATTTAGGTTTTGTGCTGCCCTAGACAACATAAAAATCGGCCCCCGCATGGAGAGACCCTGACACCGACCAACAACCCCCTCCCCCACGAAGAGTGCCTGGCATTGACCAACAACACCCCAGCCGGCCCCCTTACCCGAGAGGGCCTTCCACTACCACCGCCCCCCATACACTGGCAACCCCTCCACCCCAGTGAGAGAGAAGACACTCCCCTTCACAGCTCCAGACATCCCCAGGAACAAGAGTCAGGCTCTGCATACACCATCAAGCAACCCACAGCCTCTATCAGATCCCACCTGGTCCCCATTCTGCTTGTGTCTTTCTTTCCATCCCTTCTTTAGGGGGGTGGTGCTGCCCCCCTGAAAAATGCTGCTGCCCCCCTGAAAGATGCCGCCCTAGGCAAATGCCTTGTGGTAAATATGCCCCTGTCAGTACTGTTTGCATGTGACCAGAGCAACATTAGGAAGTTTGGATGTGCGACTTTTGTGGGACAAAAATAATTTTATGACCAACATTGGAGATGCATGTAGTGATGGCAGTTCATTATCAATTTATTTTAAAGTTGAATTGCAATCTGCCTGCCTCCTCTGCTCCTGCTGAACTGGCCATATGTAAATCTATTTATGACCAGTTTAACATATGTACAACCAACATTTTTTTTTAGCATTGTACTGACTGGGGAATGGTTAAAACCCTTGTCAGGTTTTAAATACTATCCAGGACTCCATTGGAAAGATGTTCTTTAATTTCCTGTTCTACTGACAGCATTTCAATAGCAAATAAGTTGAGTGTAATTCTCTTACAGGCAGATATAAAAAGGTTTTTATTCAGTAGAGTAGGGAAAACTACAACGCCAACCTGTCAACAGGACAAGAAATGAGGGTAAATCTCTCTACAAGATGCCCAAGAAGGAGTATGAATTCAACCAGAGTTATAGCCTTTCCCCCGCGCTATTCAAAACTACAAAAAAAAGTTTTGTCTTGATTTACACTTTAACCTAACAGGTGTGAGAAAAACACACAAACACTAATACTGGTAACCTACAAAATCCACTCAAAGCAATGGCACAGATGACAATAACTACGATGATGAATACTGCTGTTATAACTTTCCTGCAACTGGTATTGTCACGAACCTGTGGTGGCGAGCCCTTGTAGACCACCAGCTCAGGGTTCCACAGGGTGTGGAGTCTAAGCCCCAGCCTGCTTCTTCACCAGAGCCCCTGATGGTGGGGATGGACTTGTAGCAAGCTAGAACCAGGTCGCCGCCCCCAGGTACACCCAGCTGAGGATGCGGAGACTAATCGCGTGAGCAGAGTGTAATCCAGGAGACAACAGGGAAGCCCATAGACAAGCTGAGGTCAGGACAGGTGGAAATCAAGCACAGTCAGTGGATGAAGCCGGGGTCGGTACATGGGTAGTCAGATACAGGATACAAGCATAGCAACAGCCAGGGGTTCAGAGAAATAAGAAGTTGCTCAGGCAAAGTGGGCTAGACTGAGCATGTCTTATATAGACAAGCAAACTAGGAAGCGGGACAGGAAGTGATGGAAGGGAAGGAAATAAAACCCAGAGAATAGCATATGACGCCCATAGGTGAGCACAGACAAACACACATGTGAAAGGAATCGGACACAGCAAGGAGGTAAGAATACACAAGCAAGAAACTGCAGGCTAACTTGGGACAGGTATACTATGATGTTAGAGTGTATTCCAGAAATAACTATGCTGAGTTCTTACTGTGGAAATCTCCCTTTACTTGTGACAGCAAGTGAAGTCCTAATAGAGCAGCTATCTAATGAGACAGTCCTTTGCCCTAGTTCTTCATCTGGCTCACGTTGGGGCCCAATCTTTATGGTGGTGCACATAAATATAGTCCCAACAAAGTGTGCATACAGTGTTAAAGGCTGCTAATCAAACGTTAAGTCTCAGTCCCTACTAGCAGCAACAGGGTCTAAGGCAGCAGTGCCTTCTCACCAGACCAAGTGGTGTGGCAACAATGGTCCCACTGTTCAGATGTTCTCCAGTCTCTCTGCAGCAAAGGTCTGTGTCCCACCAATAGCTCAGTCTTCAACCTCTGGGCGCACACCCAGAAAAGCTGGTCTCCAGCACAGCAAAAGAGGAAGCTCCTTTGTCTGTAGCCCAGGAAATACAGCCTCCTCCCTCTTACTGTCTTCTTGTGGATATTGTAGTTCAGTGATCCATAGGATTCCACAGCATGGCTCCCATTCAAGGGGAAGTACACAATCTGAGCACCACATACCAAAAGCACTATTTAATTTATTTTTAATATTCAAAGCAACCCATCCATTTATGCTTTCTGGAATTCATCTGCCCTTAGTTTAGGCATGCAGGCTTAGCTTAGAAAACCCCACCTCCCTTCCTGAAGCATCCTGGGATGTATGACCTCATTTGCCTAGGCATGGAAACTAGGTAGAGATGTAAAAACACATGTAAATATGATATATTTCCCTATCTATTTACAATTGCTAGCAGTATAAGGATTGAAAATAGTCAATGTTGATTGAGAAAGTGTAGTTCCACTTTCAGGACTTCAACTCCTGCAGTCCAATGCAGCCAGCATACAAGTCTAAGGAGCTCCATTGGCTTGTCTGCTCTCCCTGCTGGCAGGAGACAAACAGTGTTACTAAATCCATAGGGGTTGATTTACTAAAGCTGGTTCACTCAGAATCCGATGCACCTGTGCTGGGTGACCAAACAGCTTCTAACCTCAGCTTTTTCAATTAAGCTTTAGCAATAAAACCTGGAAGCTGATTGGTTTCTATGCAGAAGTGCACAGGATTCTGAGTGAACCAGCTTTAGTAAATAAACCCCATAATGTCAGTTCTGTGAGCATAGAGAAGCTGTAGCACTGTTCTAACTCGCTTTCTATCTAGCCAAGCACATTTTATATTTAATAGCCTAGGAAGGCAGTGCATAGAAATGTGTTCAGAAGCAAACATTACAAAAATCCAGAGGGAAACGTACTTGTATACAAATAATAATAATGATATTGGCTATTTACTATAAAATGCAATGAGAGAGAAAAACAGAAATAGATGTTACTGTTTTGCTGTATAGCTTTATTCTCTTGGCAATACCACAACAGAAATGTGGCAATCACCAAGTATTGAACACGCTCCATATGAATTACACTTTTTAATTTGAATACTGCTTTTTTTAGCTGTAACAACTAAGGATGGGCTCTTTCCCTTGGCCAGTCAACTTTGGAAGCAAAAACCCCAGGGCTGAGGAAAGTTCTTTACCTATAACATGATCTTAGGTTATGTGGACCAGCCAGTTCTGACGCCAGGGTTGGAGTTAGGATTTCCGACACCATGCATCATTCTGATCACAGAAAGCCCAAACACAACATCACTGCCATGGGCAAGGTTTTGTGGATCCCTAGGTGGTTCTAAAGACCAGACGATTTTGTGTCTGCATGCAGCTCTTAGCTCATACTACCAGAAGGACAACTCTTACCTCCCTGTGACTAATATTTGCATCTTATGACAGATGAAACAAATTCCCTCTGATGTTTGGAAGATGAGTGATGATAGCAGCCAGTGTGATGCCAAGCAGTTGCAGAGTATAAAATGAGCTTTTGATAGCTTTTCCCCTCCAGCAAGGGGACATTTGTCTACATTTATTTCCAGCCACAAGCCTACAGGATGTTGTCAGGGAGCCTGAGGGGGGTTCCTGTCAGAGACTCATCACCAGCTGGGTGTTAATTCAGGTTTGCTGGCCTATTCAGATTCTCAACCATGAACATTTATCCACTTGGATGAATTAGCACCATATCTGTAATACAATGTTCCACAAAGCATTATGGAATAAAACTGTAATGTGTTTTTTAGTATACTGTATGTGCCTTTAAATATCTATTATTTCATTGTGTTCTTGTCCTAAAGGAAGAGAGCAGTGTGTTGGTCCAAAGATAATAGACTACAAAATGGATGAAAGTTCTGAAGTTCCAATCTTAGAAGATACGTCATCATCCCCAGTAGATGTCCAGCAGTGTTGGCAGGTTTCCACAGACATTGACAACACGGAGAGGTACATGGACTGTTTTGGCAATTAGGTATTGGATATAATTTTCAATGCCTACAGTATATCTACCTGGTTCTTTTGATATGCAAGTTTCATAAAAGTAACCTTTGCTTGTGTGTTTTATAATAATTTGATAATTTTGAATTACCCAGGTTTGTGGAAAGTTTACTTGCAGGGCAAAGCAACCAATACTTTCTTATCCTTCCCTGGAAGTACTTAATCACTTTTCCCTCAATCCCCCACTGCTTGTTTCAGATGCCAGGAGCAGAAGAAACAAACTTTTATAAACAATAAGTTGCTAAAGTCATAGCTAAAACAGATCTATGGACTCTCCCCAGGTAACAGCCTTGGTGCTTGATGATTGGGAGGAATTGTATGTACGGATGAAACTCGAAAAAAATTAGATTATCGTGCAAAAGTTCATTTATTTCAGTAATGCAACTTAAAAGGTGAAACTAATATATGAGATAGACTCATTACATGCAAAGCAAGATAGTTCAAGCCGCGATTTGTCATAATTGTGATGATTATGGCTTACAGCTCATGAAAACCCCAAATCCACAATCTCAGAAAATTAGAATATTACATGCAATCAATAAAACAAGGATTGTACATAGAACAATATCGGACCTCTGAAAAGTATAAGCATGCATATGTACACAGTACTTGGTTTGGGCCCCTTTTGCAGCAATTACTGCCTCAATGCGGCGTGGCATGGAAGCTATCAGCCTGTGGCATTGCTGAGGTGTTATGGAAGACCAGGATGCTTCAATAGCGGCCTTCAGCTCTTCTGCATTGTTCAGTCTCATGTCTCTAATTTTTCTCTTGGCAATGCCCCATAGATTCTCTATGGGGTCCAGGTCAGGCGAGTTTGCTGGCCAATCAAGCACAGTAATCCCACGGTCATTGAACCAGGTTTTGGTGCTTTTGGCAGTGTGGGCAGGTGCCAAGTCCTGCTGAAAAATGAAGTCAGCATCCCCATAAAGCTCGTCTGCGGAAGGAAGCATGAAGTGCTCCAAAATATCCTGGTAGACGGCTGCGTTGACCCTGGACTTAATGAAGCACAGTGGACCAACACCAGCAGATGACATGGCTCCCCAAATCAACACAGACTGTGGAAACTTCACACTGGACTTCAAGCATCTTGCAGTGTCCAAATGAGATGCAAAAGTTGCTGTCATCAGAAAAGAGGACTTTGGACCACTGAGCAACAGACCAGGTCTGTTTTTCTTTAGCCCAGGTAAGACGCTTCTGGCGTTGTTTGTTCAGGAGCAGCTTGACAAGAGGAATACGACATTTGAAGCCCATGTCCAGGATCCGTCTGTGTGTGGTGGCCCTTGATGCACTGACTCCAGCCTCAGTCCACTGCTTGTGAAAGTCCCCAACACTTTTGAATGGCCTTTTCCTGACAATCCTCTCCAGGCATCCCTGCTGCTAGTGCACCTTTTTCTTCCACACTTATCCCTTCCACATAACTTTCTATTAATGTGCTTTGACACAGCACTTTGGAAACATCCAACTTCTTTTGCAATTACCTTTTGAGGCTTTCCCTCCTTATGGAGGGTGTCAATGATGGTTTTCTGCACAACTGTCAGGTCAGCAGTCTTTCCCATGATTGTGATTCCTACTGAACCAGACTGAGAGACCATTTAAAGGCTCAGGAACCCTTTGCAGGTGTTATGGCTTAATTGGCTGATTAGAGTGGGACACTTTGAGCCTAGAATATTGCACCTTTTCACAATATTCTAATTTTCTGAGATTGTGGATTTGGGGTTTTCTTGAGCTGTAAGCCATAATCATCACAATTATGACAAATCATGGCTTGAACTATCTTGCTTTGCATGTAATGAGTCTATCTCATATATTAGTTTCACCTTTTAGGTTGCATTGCTGAAATAAATGAACTTTTGCACGATATTCAAATTTTTCGAGTTTCACCTGTATTTGCTGGTGAGGGTGGATTAAAACTCATCTGTTACTTTGCCCAGCATTAACAAAACACAGGTTGCTTTTAAGCACAACTCTGGGAAACTTAAAAATTACTCCCTGCAGTGGGGCTGTGCTTACTTGGCAAGACTTAATTGCTTGTTTAGGTCAAGGGGACACTGAAAAGAAGATCTACTAACCTGATATACTCTGCTCCTCCATGCAGCTTGACCAGTCCCTTCAGCGGTTTCTGCCTCATGCTCCAGTGGTCTAATGTACTGACGTCATCTAACCCATTGCAGGATCCATAGTTCTGCACTGGACATGATGATGCTGAGGGACAGTCCACCATCAGAGCATGGAGGAGGGAGCGATCTGCTGGGGGAACAAAGGAAAGGATCAGGTAAGTAAAAGTGCAAAAACTATCCTTGACTAAACAAACAGTTAAACTGCAAGGGATCATTTTAGGTTTCCTGGAGTTGAGCTTTAAAGTGAAATAAAACAATGTAATTTGTAATAACATAGTTCCCTGCAAAGAAGGTAAATAATTACCTCTCCTGCTGCTCGCACTGACAAACATTCCTCTGAAAAAGAGGAATCACTGCTAGTCTATTCAGAAGCCAGCACGCCTGGGAGCGTCAATCTTCTGGTTTCCTGTTGTGCACAGTGGTTATTCCCACTGACCCCCACGTCACTTCTGTATTCTGTAGTAATGTGAAGGTCACCACAGGCAGCGGGAGAGGCAAGTATAGGTTTTCATTGCAGGTAATCATTTTAGTGTTAATTACGTGACAATCACTTCAAAGTAAATGTTCATTTTTAGAAAAAATCCCCCAGCCTCCTCCCTATCTTTCTTGATACATGCAACTCTGTGCCTCCAGAAGGTTTGTACTTACTTCCTCTGACAGCTGTGGCCTCCTGTTTGAGGTAGAACCAGAGAAATCTAGTGGCAGGCTGCCCACGCCTGTGCACATCCCATAGTCTCAAGTAGGATGCTACCCCTGCGTTACGAGTGTGGCCTATTCAAGTCTAGGTGATGTTAGTGTGTAGATGGGGACAGCTAGATTTTTACTGACTGGGCTGCACACAGTGTGAGGGCCACAGCCATCGGAGGTGGTATGTACACTCCTGGTGGGGGAAGGGGGTTTGCTGTGTGTTTTAGGGGGATGGAGGGAAGGTTGGGGGAATTTTTTTTTTTCTTTTTAAAGTGAACAATTTGACCCTCTCTGGTTTAAGCAGTTGGCAGCTGGCTAAAAGTATCTACATTGGTGAAGGTAGACTACCAAGCATTGAATATGCGCAGGTTGGTTTCAAAATGTTGGCAACTCTAGGAAGAAAGAAAAGAAAATCTTCATCTTGCATGTGAATGGAATTCCAAACTAAAGGAGATGTTTTCCTTTTTTCAGAGACATGAGGGAAATGAAAAACCTCTTAAGCAAACTCAGGGAGACCATGCCTTTGCCATTAAAAAACCAAGGTAAGATTATAGCTTCCTAATCTGCTCCTGTGCCCAGACTGTAGACACTAAATTATTTACATATTATTAGCAAGCAGCAAAAGAGCTTTAAAGCCCATCGCTGGGAAAATATTAGCCTGCCTTCCTCCCACCCCCTCTAACTGATCACTGGCTTAAAAATATACTCTTGTTAGATTTTTATATATATATGTATATATAATATATATATCATCCAGTACATCAGGTCATATAAAAGTAGACAAGTACAATTACAATGTCCAGCACTATATAGCCTGAGGCAAATCTGAGCCCTTCAATGTTAAATCCGATGGCTTCCACCAGTGGGCCGAAAGAGTAGGTATGAGAATGGCTGCCCATAAGCATAAGCCATTCCTTAAGGGAAGGGGAGCAAGCGCTTTTCCAGTTGAGTAGTGTGGCTTTACATGCCTATGATAGGGCCCTAGAAACAGTTTCCCTAATACAGGCATCTGGAACTATACCTTTTAGAATACCCAATATACAATGCTTGAGGTTAGAGGGAAGCTCAGTTTGGAATACTTTATTTATACTATATAATAGTAGTTAGGACTGATTTCCGATACCTGTGCAGCTTAGGGCATCTCCACAACATATGTATTAGATCCCCATGATCTCTACCACACTTAGGACAAACTGGATCAGACAAAAGTCCCACCTTAAACAATTTAACTGGGGTGTAATGAACTTGCAGCAGAATATACAATTGTGTGGGTCTCAGAGACATATATAAGGAGCTATCGTGTACTGCTTCGAAGGCCATTTCCCACTGTTCCCCAGCATCAGGCTCCCACCCAGGGGCAGACTGACAACTCATGGGGCCCCCGGGCAATAGGGGATCATGGGGCCCCTGTGTCCTTGCCCAAACTCAAAAAAGCCTATGAAAAAGGTACCAGGGGCATCTCATGGGGCCCCCTACTGACCCCAGGCTCTCGGGCAGTGCCCGAGTTTCCAAATGGTAAGTCCGCCCCTGCTCCCACCTGTCCATGGCCCTGCACGGAAACGCTTCCAGGTAAATTGACAGTAGTGAGGCGTGGCAGCTAGAAATAAGGCCTTTCTGGGTTGTACTATGTTGTAACATGCCAAATATAAAGGTAGGGTAAAGAGAAAAATCAGACGGTAGGTTTTCAGCCTGTAGTGCGTGATGCAGTTGTATATAATAAAAATGCATAGTTTGCTGTAAAAGGTACATAGACTGTAAGGTGTCCCTAAAGATGTTTCAAATGCATTATACCATATGGGGCGCTGTTTATGGGCATAAGTACGTTTTGCCAATTGGGGGTATATATGATTATTCCAGGTCATACTAAGGTTAGTATAGCTGCCTGCATTTGCTTAGCTTTTCCCCAAATTTTCTGCATTAACCGATAGGTAGGAAGACATTTATTGAATATAGCAAAGTATTGGGACTCTAATCCTTCAGGGAGCGAAGGGGACTGAGTATACTGAATCATAAGGGATAAGGAAGAGTCCAGTGGTAGTCCCTCTGTCCTCCCAAATTGAACCATGCCTCTCCCCATATGCTGCAATTGAGCAGCCAAATAATAAACCCAGGCATTCGGGAATGCTATTCCCCCATCCGTTTTTGGACATTGTAGTTGTTCTGAGCAAACCCTAGGTGTATTCTGCCCCCATAACAATTGCCGAAAGATGGAGTTTATCATCCTAAAAAAAGATGAAAAGGAAGGGCTACAGGGGCATTATGTAAGAAATATAGCAGTTGAGGCATTAAAATCATTTTCAAAAGATCATATGTATTTGAACACATGGTGGTCGCATCATTTATACCAGCACTGGTGCTCCTGGTTAGGAAATAGGAGAGGGGGTAACTGAATTATGCGATGAGTCCACCTTATTGCTATGTTGAGAAATCTACTTTTAGTTCAATGTCTGCTCAAACTTTTCTTCACCCATATATGGATGGCAGCATGTTACTTGCCAACTTGGCTTTTCAAAGATATTGAAATGGTATGACTCTTATTATTTATATCCTCCTACATTGGACATTACAAAGGAGCACCCTCCTAGTTAGGCTGTTAGTTAAATTTAGTTTTTGGTTTGCTCTGTAATCAGAGGAGCAGTGCTTGTTTGGTCTGGACTTTTCAGTGCTTGACAGGTTTAGAGTATAACTGCTTACCCCTGTCTCTAGAAGAAGTTGCTGGAACTTAGGGAGGTGTGCCCAGATAGTGGCTAGGATGCTGTTAAATAGCCTACAGCCCTGAGGAGCTTGTCTTTTCCCCCTGGGGGGAGGATCTGTGAGCTCTGAGGAAGGGGGAGGGGGGAGAGCTGCTTGCCCCTGGAGTCCCTTGGACTGAATACTGGACTAAGTTACCAAAGGCCACATCTATGGACAGACTGTGTGTCTTTACTTATTCTCAACCTACTTCATGGTCCCCAGCCCTGAACTGTGTACTGGTCCAGTCTGCATTACTGTATTCAAGCTACTGCATGGTCCTCCGCTGTGAACTGTGGACTGTTCCAGTCTGCCTTTACCTGTGCTAAAATTATTTCATGGTCCCCAGCCATGAACCGTAGAATGCTCCAGCTTACTTACACTTGTGCTATTGCTACTGCAAGAGAATTGTCCTCTGCCAAAAATACCTGACATTTTGGAATATCCCACATCACCCCAAATCCTCCACCAAGTTCTACTAGCATATAAACTTTAAAAAGACAAACCCCCAGACTGATCAATGAACTGGAGAGAATGACTGTTGCTGTGTGCCTGGCTGCCTCTGCACTGTTTGGGAAAGAACCTGTCTAATCTATAGTGTCCCCTAATGGGGTACAGCTACACGTACTTGTCTGAATTGAACTAATCCAGCTCAGTGGATTGCTTTAAAAAAGGCCTGGATTCTTTCCTAGAAACACAGAATATAACTGGATACCAACGTTTATAGGTAAAGTTGATCCAGGGAATATTCGATTGCCTCTCGGGGGATCAGGAAGGAATTTTTTCCCCTACAGGAGCAAATTGCATCATGCTTTTTTCTTTTTTTTGCCTTCCTCTAGATCAACTGTGGGTGTAGGATTATAACTTTTTTTTTTTATGGTTGAACTGGATGGACCTTTGTCTTTTTTCAGCCAGACTAACTATGTATGTAACTATGTAATTACTATTGCTTGAAAATAATTTTAAACCTACTGCAAAATGTCTTGCTCCTGATAGCCAATCTGGAGAAAAAGGCACAGAGCTTTTACTGTGTGCGTTCTCCATCCATCCATCATACATCCATCCATCCATCTAAGAGAGATTGTGATGGGTCCCTTCAGCATTCATATAATTTCAGGATGAATACATGTCTCACTATCAAGAGTACCTGATGAGGCATTTGTCTGTCCATTGGCAGTACGTGCCCATCCTAACCTACTGTTCACAATGGAAATATAATGAGCAAAGGAGGAGAAAAGAGCCTCTAAGTGCAATATGTTGGTCTGGGGTCTTTGAGAAACATTAAAACTGAACTCTGGACAGGAGAAAAAGTTTCCCTTGCAGTAGGGCCCTCTTCATACTGCAAGGATTAAATCTCCATTTTGTCTGGACAGCAGGAATAAGGTGAAATATTTAAAGCTGAATTTCAGGATAAACAAATATTGTCTAAATACAAGAGGCATTCTTACTTGCATCATAGTGTGATTTGTCTTTCTTCCAGATCTGTGCAGTAATCCAGTGTGAAACATTGGGGTTGATTTACTAAAACTGAAGACTGTAAAATCAGGTACAGCTGTGCATGGTAGCCAATCAGCTTCTAACTTCAGCTTATTCAATTAAGCTTTGACAATAAAACCTGGAAGTTGATTGGTTTCCATGCAGAGCTGCACCAGATTTTGCACTTTCCAGTTTAAGTAAATTAACCCTCCTGTCTCTGTACAGGAGCTTCCTGTAATAAAGACCAGTCACTTCTGCTCTCTATCCTTGTACAAGGTGACTGGTCTTGTCTACACCCCCTCCTATAGTTTACTGCTGGCAGCCTGTAGGGGATGGAGCCTGATAGAACCCTCCCATAGCTCTGCTTTCTGCACAGGCCATGTACAGCACAGTGATGACGTTAGCATCTGCTTTCAGAAGGTTATATCTAGATTTGTAAAGACATTTAGTGCACAAAAACTGACGTTTATTTGTGGTTTTTGCCGAATATATTTAAATAAAAGGTTTTTTTGCCTGTAGTTCAACTTTAATAAATTCCTTGCTCCTGAAGACTTCCCCCTCTTTATAAGGCTTCTTTCCTGACACCGTTCCCCTTTGGAGCTAGACTGGTCACTGCACTCCCTTATTATGTATACACTCTCCGGCCACTTTATTGGGTACACCTTGCTAGAGTCAGGAAAATATCCCCCACACCATTACACCAACACCAGCCTGAAACGTTGATACAAGGCAGGAGTTCCATGCTTTCATGTTGTTTGCTGCAAAATTCAGATGGTAGGGTCAGAATTTGGCATAACCAGTCTGCCCATTCTCCTTTGACCTCTGTCATCAACAAGGCATTTTCATCCAGACAACTGCCATTCACTGGATATTTTCTCATTTTTCGGGCCATTCTCTGTAAAAACTAGAGATGGTTGTACATGAAAATCCCAGTAGATCAGCAGTTTTTTAAATGCTTAGACCAGCCCCATCTGGTACCAACAATCATGCCATGTTCAAAGTCACTTAAATCCCCTTTCTTCCCCATTCTGATGCTTGGTTTTAACTTCAACAAGTCATCTTCACCACATATACATGCCTAAATGCATTGATTTGCTGCCATGTGATTGGCTGATTCGCAATTTGTGTTACCAAGCAGCTGATCAGGTGTACCTCATAAAGTGGCCAGGGAGTGTAGTGCAGAACCACTGGTCCTGCTTTGTACGTACGGGTGTTTGGGGCCACCCTCATCCCAGCAGAGAAGAGTGCCTGCTGCCAGGGGACAAAGGAATAAGGTAAGTATTTCAACTAGACAAAACAAGCATTTAACCCTTGCAGTGCAGAGGGGACCCATTGCAAAGATAACTTTTTTCCTAGCCCCAAGGTCAACATAAACGAGGTAGATTATTCAGTCCAGAAATATAAAAGAAGGCAGTGGATGATGTAACTCATCATCTAGTAAAAATGTGTTTTATGTAGACTGGATGTTAACCCAACTGTTTTTTTACAATGAATTGACAATAATACAGACACACATGTAATTCAGCCATGAAAGGCTGTGCTGCCACAATAAACCTGGGAATGTGCAATTCAGCCTTTACTATGTTTAGAACTCTTGCATTGCTAGGGCCCTGGATCCAAATGCCACCAAAGACATAGTTTTCATGAAGTTTATTTGTGACTCCTGCATTTGTTGCATTTTCTGTGGGTGCACTATATAAATGAAGGATAAAACTTCTATCTTATTATATCACTTAGCCACCTGAGGTTCCAGAATCTCTTAATGCTGAAAAAAAACTGCATCATCATGTACTCAATCACAGTACAGCAATAGTTCATCATCCCCAACTGCAGGCTAAGTGAATTACTCCTAAATGGGATTTCATTATACCTTGTTCTAACAGCACATGGAGCAAGTAATGGCTGAACTGTGGTTTCACTAATAATCTGTGCAATAGAAAAATCAATAGAAAATTGCCCTACAAGGGGCCATTAAGTGGTAGGCCACTATAAAAGGACAGCAAAGCCAGCTGTCCTCATTCAGTATCATGAAAAGGGTTTTTGTACCAGTGGATGAAAGTCTTTTTTATGGTATAAGCAGGGTGGCTTCATTTGCTGGCACCCAGCTGCAGAGAAAGTGGTGATTCCCAGCATGCTCTGTCACTCATAATCCCCGGTCTGCTTTCATATAGTTATATAAGTCCTTTTAGGTAAGGGAATGGCAATATACATAAAAGGTATTAGCCTTTGACATATATTATTTTATGTCTTCATAACAGCAGCAGTCCCATTAAGACTGTTCAGAAACGGAATGTATATAGTTTTGTGTATGTTTTCTTTATTATGTTCAGGACCAAAAAAAATGATCAGATAAGGAGTACCATGGACTGAGCAAACCAATTAATGGCTTGAAATCTGACCTAGAGAGATTTGCATTGAATATCTCCAAATATCAGTCTACCTGCCACAACTGATCCTTTTGTACTTATATTTTTTTAAATAAAAATGCTAAACGGAATGACATCTGGCCCCCAAGATAGCAGGCTGCAGCACCATTGATTACAAAGTTCTTTTTTATTTATTTTTTGAATGAAGCAATTAACCAATCTGTACTTTGGAATTCCCTACAGTTCCCTTATCTGGTGTTTTGTAGTTGAACCTGCAGAGTATAGATTTTGTTCCTTCACTCTTAACACTGTACCAAGCACAGTCAAGACCACTAAGGCTTATTTTAAGCATTGTTTAAAAGAAAAAAATAAATGTGTCTTTTATTTTATTTTTAGTACATTTTTTGAATTAATGGGTAAGCAGCTAACCAGGGCATACATGGAACAATGCAAATAATCCGCAAATTCCGACACCTCCTCTTCAGACGCCAGTAGAGTACCCTTCAGCTGTATTGATGAGGGTCATCTGTGCTTAGTCTTATCCTCTTAAAGGCTCAGTACAACATTGGAACATCTTATATATTCCACCTGTATTAAGGATGGCACATGTAACATCGTCCAGCTCCTGCCCCTTCTCCCTCTGATCCTCCTCTATTTATGATAGTGGGAAAGAGATCCTCTTCCCAGTTCTGCTATAACTTTTTGAAAGCATTCATTCACAGATTCTTGTGAATGAATAAACTGCAAGTACCATCTGCCTCTGTGGCAGACAGACTTGTAGTTTCAATAGACTGCAGAGGTGCTGATGAACTTTCTCATAGACCACAAAGCCGTACAGAGGTATGGGCTTAAAGCAGGAGGATATGTTTGCAGGAGCCCACATTGAACCCATGATTTACCGATCAATGCTTTCCAGGCTTCTGCAGGGAAAAGTAATAAATAAATGCACATTCTTTTCTGCAAAATATGTGAATTTGTTATTTTTTTCTGTAAAGGTGAACTTTTCCTCAACCCAGTGCTGCTAGGCATTGTTATGGAAATTTCTGGCTTGGCTTCATTAAATGTCAGCATGGCTTCAGTAAAGCAGGAAGACACTTACAGTCTTACCAGCCCTCTTTCTGTTTTTATGAATGGATACCCTCCAAAGCAATGACTGAATATCTAGTTATGAGCTTTATGTTTTAATATAGGCTTGAATCTAGCAAAGAGTATTGGGGCAGAGGATAGGGCATATTGGACTCAAAGAAGTTTGCTTATCTCCAACAAAGATCACAGAAAGAATAATTACAGGTTTAAAAAATATATATTCCAACGGTTATAGAAGTAAAGAATGACTGTACAAGAAAAGATATTACAAGCTAGAAATGCTCATTTTGTTGAAAAGATTGATATAACATATATAACGTAATTGCTACACCAGACTTTTTGCAGTTTAGTAAAAAAAAAAATAATAATAATAATATATTTTTATTTTACCCCTTTAACCAACTTTTTTTAAACTGGCAACAATTTTAAACATAGCTGCCTTAAGTAGGGGGCTTTCTGTACACTGTTGGTACAGGTTTAACCCTGCAAATGTCCTTCTTGCGCAATGATTAACTCACTGCTGTTCCAGCAGTTTTTCTCTTATTAAAACACTGGGACTGACATAATTGCCAACAACTGACAATAGGAGAGACACCTTGAAGGGTCTGAGAAGGAAAATGTGGCTCACGACATGCCGGCCACACAGGGGCATGGCCAATAACATTGGTGGGGTTTGGCTTGGTGCATGGCTTATAGTGTTGTACTTGTCATCCTATGCTTTGTGTTTATCAAAATCAGGCCTGGAGGGAAACCGAAGAGAAGAGTGAGAGTAAAACTAGTCCCATCATTGCTGTAGTTGTGAATAAAATAGGTCCCATTGTTGTATCATTGGGAGTAAAATTAAACCCTATCCTTGGGGTCAGTAGTGATAAAAATAAGCTCTATCATTGGTGTTGGTGGGCTAAAATAAGCACCATTGTTGTTAGCGCGATAAAAAAAAAGCTTCATCTTTGGTGTCAGTGGGATGAAAATGAACCCCATCATTGATGTCAGTAAAAAGAAATTAAGCCAATCATTGGTGCCAATGGGAGGAAAAAAAGCCCATCGTTGTCTGTAAGATAAAATAAGCTTCGTATTGTTAATGTCAAGTGGAGTAACTCATATCGTTGCTGTCAGTGGAAGCAAGAATAAGCCTTGGTGTTCAGTTTTTACCTACCAGTCACTTGCTCTTACAATGCTGCCTCTTTGCTGAGTCTGGCATTGTATGTTGATGCTTGAATGATCTCCTGCCCAAAAATCCAGGCATAATGACAGTGCTGAGAGAGTGTTTCAGTAACCCACTGCCACTCTGCAGTGTCCTAGGTCCTATAGGACACAGACACTGCAGAACAATCCCAGGATTGCCATGCAACATACAGAGCGCTTTGCAACCATAGACCAATTAAATGACTCCTACTCTGCACATGCGTTACAATAGAAATGTCAGCTGGTGGGATCCTGCAATGATGTCGAACAGACCAGAGGGAACCAAAGGGACCAGAGGGAAGATTTATCTATCTTGTAAAGCTACTGTTTAAAAAAAAGAATTATACTCTAACATCATCTAGTGTGTTTACTGTGATGATTAATACATATATTGATGTTTAATTGCAGACGACAGTAGCCTCCTCAACTTAACACCATATCCACTTGTCAGAAGAAGAAAGAGAAGATTCTTTGGATTGTGTTGCCTCATCAGCAGTTAAAAAATAATAAAGAAAAGCCATTCTTTCCACAAATACGTTATAATTTGACCTTTGCTGTCATATATCGTATTGAGGTTGGTTGACCCATTATGTATTCAGTGTTGCCTAAACTGCCTTTTTCAGAACTTCTGCTATGGTCCTGGAAGCAAATAACATTGTTTGACCTATGAACTGGTCCAAAAACTGTCAGTGACTGGGTGGAACATTTCCAAACAGACTTTATGAACACTAAAAGTTCTCAAGCATAAAATATGCAAACTGCTTTGATGTCCTAGTATTGTGCTATAGGGAAACCATCCCATCAGCATCACAATGAAGATTCAGTATGGAGATGGTGACAGCAGTTATTATTGTTGATGTTATCAAAGGCCAATAACTGTACTTTGATTTGTATTTTTTTTTGTCTTAATCATAATTAGTCTTCCACAATGCATCAGGATTTTGTCCAAGACTTCAGCCACGTTTCTAATCTGTTAACTCGAGGATGAAAACTAGGTATCTGGCTTGTAAATATTACTGTAAGCTTGATGACGATCATCAGTATTTTCCTCCCATTCGAATGGTGTGATTTTCACAATTTTGAAAATGTTACACATATATATGAAGGTAGTGTATTCAATCCCCTCCTTCCTTCCTCCAGTATAACCTCATATCCTAGTAAGAACAACTTATCATATATTGTTACTATAGAACGTTAAAGCATGGTGTCTGCACATAGTGTTATAAATGATAGGGCATGCCAAACTTAGCTCTGATTGTAAAATACCCTACATTTTACATTGTTAATAAATTTTTTTTAGTTAAACCACGTGAGTATTGTTTTTCTATAACATTCTTTTTTAGGATTTTTGCTTATGAGGACAAATGAGAGAAAAATACTTTTGTCATTAAAGCAAGGGGTGAAGGGAGATCAATCACAGTTCCAAAAGGGCAATTTTCAGACTCAGGGATTATTATATTATTATTATTTTTCTATTATATTTACTATTATGCAGGATTTATATAGTGCCAACAGTTTCCACAGTGCTTTACAATATAAAGGGAAACAGTACGATTACAATGCACCTCGATACAGCTGGAATAGGAGGACCCTGTTCGTGGAGCTTACAATCTAAAGAGAGGGGAGGTCTTCGAATTTCATTAACAATGATAGTACAGTAGACACCCTTTGGTACAGAAGGTAATAATTACTATCAAACAGTCTGAAAATAAGAGGATCATTGCTCACTTTGGGAAAGTGGGTAAAGTCATGCAAATTATTCCTTTACAATCTAATGGTCAAATGCATAACTACAGTAGAACCACTGGGGTATAGTGCAAACACAACCTTATATTATAGAGCTTTTTATTTCAATCTACTCCTCTTTCAGGTTTTTTTGGCCACCGTCAGTGCTGTATATGGAAACCATAACTTCTATGAAGTAGGGTTTGGGACCCAACAAGATAGTGTAATTAATAAGGTTATAATTAGAGAGGGCTAAAGGAAACAAAACACCTTTCAACCGGATCGATCTTCTTAGAAGTGAAGGTATTTACAGGTCTCATCCCATCTCTTTTACTGTTCTGGTGATAATTCAATATTTTGGATTTCTTCATTGTTCATTGAGGGACAGTTATACTGCCAGCTGTAGGAGGTTAGGACACTGGCAAACAGAAAAGTGATAACCCAATCCCCATATAACCTCTCTTTTACCCAGCATGTCTTTGTTTTTTGCTAGCATCAGAGGAGGTTGGAGGCCTTTTCTTCAGCTCTGCTAAAAAATAGTCTAATGCAAGCCTGCTAACTTTGTGGTATTTGTTTTCTTGGTGACATCAATCAAGATTCTTGCTACACCACAACTTTTTTTTTTTTTATATCTTGATGACTTTGATCAAGTCTCCTTGCTACACAGCTCTTTGAGCTGGTTTCTACACAGCAGCTATCTGGATCGGCAGCTCCTCTGAATAATGTTTATAGGAAAGACCCTCCATAAAGAAAGAAGGTACTACTGAGTGACCCAGGTAGTCTAACTGAAACTTCAGCTTTATTGAAACCACATAATAATAAAACATTATGCAAATACCTATACAAAAATTAAACTATGTCTCCACCCGTCACATGGACTTGGCATGTGGGGATAGCCTGGAATGTGACATAACGGCACTTGGATTCACATTGTGTAACATTGCAGACCTTGGTGTGCTGTGTTAGCTGGCCATGAAGCTTTTTCTGGGTGCAGAGCCATGGGATTGCAATGTTGCATTTCCAGAGCTTAATGTACTATTTTAGCCACTGAGCAGTTTCCAGGTCCAAATCCATGGCACTCAAGTGTAAAACTCACTTATATAACAAGGCCAGTTGGGCTGAGGCAGCACCTCCAGTTTATTGTGGTTAAGGCTGAGGGATCAACTGCTGATCAGTGGTTTCCTCAAGTAGGGGGCTGTTTGCACATCCAGATGGGTCCTTGGTTTGATTGTCTTTGGCTTTTTAGTGCCCTGATCAACCCCAGAACCTCAAGGGCTAATACCTTTCGGGGAATTAACTACAATTCCAGTGCAGGAAACTGTCTGGAGTGACATGCACCGCATTAACTAAGCAGTTAGACCTGTATTAGGTCAGAGTGAGATTGAAACTGGCATGGGTTTTGTGATTAATTTACAAAGGGCATTCAACAGTTTTAGAAAACTGAGTACTTAAAAGCATGTTTGCTTTGTTTCTGTCACAGAACCAGAATAGAACAAAGAGCAGATCAGTCCTAAGTAACAAAGGGGCTTACACCTGCTCCATTCTTCCAAGTTTAGAAGAGTGGTGTAAGCATTATTCTTGCAACATTCTTTTATTCCCTCTTTATGTCTAGTATCTCCTTCAGCTGTCCCTCACCACTTTTCTGTTACTGTATTCAGCAGTGTGTTTTCCTGGGTTTTTCATATACTGGGACCCTTGTTCCTTCCTACCCTTGTAGAAATGTGTCTTCAGGAGCTGTACTCAGCATGGACTTACACTTTTACTTTCAGGAGAGCTCCTTACCCCAGGTGCTGTTGAACCTCTCAGGATGCTCGATACCCCTAACTTTGTCCCCTCTACTGAGGGATCAGTTTCTGCTCTTCCCTTCCCTAAAAAGGGGGGCTAAAACCTACAAGCTTCAGCCATAGAAGGCTTCTTGTATTGTTAGCATTGGTAGCTGCAGCTTGCCGTTGGGCAAACTTATTTTAAATCCTCACACTTCTCATCTACTGTATGGCAGGAAGTATCCATCACTGTATGGCAATGTGCTCCTGTGAATGGTCAGCAGGCAGAACACACTGGATTGGTAGTTAATGCACAGCCTATTGAGGACATTATTCCACATTCCTTGTTTGCTATTGTTCGTAATCAGGTAACCATTCTTGCAGTATGACTAGGATTCCTGTCCCTCACTCCTTGGCTGAGCATGCTTTGATGGATTTGAGATAATATTTATTTCTGGATCAAGGTTAGGCAGGTTTACAGTTTCCTCTGTCAGTTCCAGAAGACACCTACATGTGTTAAGCGTCCCTGCTTATCCTTATGTTCTTCTGGTGTCTTGTGCACCAGTCATGGTTGTGATATGTCTTCATCCCTGCCTACCCTTGTGCTGGTGTCTTTTGTTCACCCTTCTGGCTTAAGATTTTTGCCAGTATCCCAACATGTAGGTAACAGTATAATGCAACTATTTCTGAATATCAATGGACTAAAAAAAAAAAAGTTTACAGTAATTACAAATTCTTATTTTTCTCATCACATTCAGTCCAGTTGACTGTGGTCACCAGGACAGATACAGAGTTAGAGAGGGTGGATCTTCCCAATGAGAATGTAGACAGCAATATAAACCTAACAGCCTAAGCATAAATGGTCACCAGGACACCTAGGTGAAAAAAAAAAACTGAATCTGACGTTTTGCTTAAGGAAGACTGTATGCAATAAGGCATGATGGCAAACATACTGAAACATACTTTAAAATGATTGTAAATCCTTGTTCTGAAAGCATGGTGTGAGGAAGTTATGATGTGCTCCTCAGAGAGGAATTGGTGCCTGGATCACAAACTGGCTTGTGGAGCTGCTGGTGACAAGGGGAGAAACTGAGAGTTGACTGGTGTTCAATCCTCAGATGACAGAAATACAGTACCATTTTCCAACAATAATCCATGAGTGATGTAAGGTTGTTTAAACAACTCGAAAGATCTAGGCAGTATCCTTTGTATTACTAACTGGGAGTAAAGGATCAACTGCATTTGTATGGTTTTTGCAGGGCTAAGCCCACAGGAGCTGCTTGGTATGATGGGTTATTTGTTCTGTCCATCCCCGCTGACATACCTGGGTGTATATATAGCCTGCATATACTTGTGTGACTTAAGGGTTAATATACTACCTCACTATATTAGCATCTAGGAAATAGACCATAGACATCTAGATGGTAGATAAAGTGATTTAAATACAAATGATTTAAACACAATACACAAATCAATACACAGGTCGGAAAATACGTTAGAATGTGTTAGAATAACCATCGAGAATACTAGCCTCAAATATGGCAATTGACTTAAACCACAGTAAGGCTAAACCAATGGCACAAAGAAAAGTCTAACTGTAACTCTCAGCAATAACTATTCAAAGGTGTCCCTGAGTGCACTCTACGCATTCACCCCAAAAAGTTGGTGTTTGTACACAATTCTGATAGGGGTACCCCTGAGGACAGCTGTAAAGTACCTGGCTAATGTTGAGGCCCATCTGTATGGTACAGAGCTTGTTTTACTGCCTCTTTAAAACTGTATGCAGTAAATGACTATAGGGCTGCTAAGTAATGGCCAATCTCTAGTGGCATTAAACTGCGACAGTAATGGGATAAGCACATTTGATTCCGTTCACCACCCTTGGTACACAACAAGTCTGGTCTAGAACACTTGGTGATTCGTTGGCCTAAGGAATCAAGTCCCCCAGTGGCTCAGCCCTCACAATCAGGTCCTAACAAAGCTCAGTCCCATGCTGAGGCTGTCACCGATAC